GAGATATCCCTGTTCCTTGCAGGGGGGTTGGACTAGATGACCTTTGAAGGTCCCTTCCAGCCCTAACCATTCTATGATTCTACGCTTTGAAGCTCTGAATGGTTTCCACCAAAAAAAAAACTTGCCGGTCCAGCCGTAGCCGGGATGGTCCGGTGACTGCTCTGCACGTGGCATCAAATGGTTTCATCCTTCATCCAGCACCATCAAGGGGTGTTGTGGGCTTGGGGGAGTCAAGCCCCGTGGTTTGCTGAACAGCAGTGAGCTGCAGACGGGCTGGGTGGGTCTGGCAGCCCCTCCAACAGCACCCAGTGGGTACCACTGAAAGGGTTCACAAATTAGGGTGTCTCCAGTTCCTGTCCTATACAAGAGCCTCCATCAAGGGCTTCCTTCTTGGAGGAGACTGCAAATGAGGGGTACAGTCCAGGCACCAGCTGAGGAGCAGGAGCTGATGGCTTGGGGCTGCCCCAGCTGCATCTGGAGAAACCCAGCAAGCCCAGAAGGACACGATGAGTGAGTCTACCTTGGTGGGATCTCCTCAACAATGCGTCTGCTTTACTTGGAACTCTCCGTATGTTCCCAGCACACGCATCGTGGGCAGCATCCAGAGGTCGAATGGCAGAGGGCCGGGGCGGGAAGGCTTGCAAAAAATGCCAACAGGCTCCATCGTGATGCCTGGGAACTGGGTCTGTCAGCGCTGGCATTGCTTTGACCTCCTGTGCTATGCCAGCCTGGAACGCTCAACTGTTCTCAGGCTCCGTGGTCCTCCCTGCCTCCACCTCCCCCTGGGTTTGCTGCACGTCCCAGCAAGAAGTCCCGGAAAACCGAGGAGAAAATGGCCAGAGACCAAAGAATTACGTAGAGGGGACGGTGATGTGAAATGCAAGACTGTTCTTGCAGAGAAAGCTCAGGGCTCCCCGCTGGTGAGCCCTCACCGTGGCGAGTGTGCGGTGGCAGGAGGAGGTGGTGGCCACCAGCTGGTTTTCTGGAGCTGTGAGCCCAGGGCTCTTGGCCCAGACTCCAGCTATAAGAAGTGCAACGGAAGAAAGTCCAGTTATTTTCCCAAATTTTTTGTAATAATTCAGGGCC